AACTTGAATTGAATTTTTATGAAAAAAGAAGTAATTTTAAACCCTTCATGTGTTTTTCACGCATTTTATAGATAATGGTGCAGATTAAAGCATCAGCAGATTAAATAGATCAAAGCGGGCTTCTTCGCGTGCTAGAGCAAAATGTAGTATTAAAATTCTCTTTGGATAGAGCATCCGGCCGACATAAATCCTACACGGGCTCCTGCGAGGCTTCAAACGAAATACCTGCCATAACTAAGAACAAATTGTTAACGTAATCGTTGTAAGTCATAAGATATTTGAGATTCGTTGGTAAGATAATACGTGGATCTTCAACGTAAAATGACATATAAACGATCAATTCTGAGTAAATTGTCCATATTTACTGTATAACATAGAAGAACAAAAAATTACTCCACAGATAAACACAAAATGAATAAATTTGCTACACTTTCTGTGTTACAAGATCTGCAGTGATATTATAAAAAATATAGCGTTTAAAGCAGCTTAAAACATAACGCTGTCATAGCATAGAGGTTCCGTTAAAAATAACCTACTTTAAAAGGTTATAAAGGTCTTATTTGAGTTCATATTTGAATAGCAAAGCAGTAACTAAATAAAACATGATATCGTAGTATGTAATATAATGTTTTTAACAATCTTCTAGCTTAGGTACTTGCAAAATAGATAATTAATTATCAATTTTGTTCATTAATGCGAAGCACGTGAGTGACGTAGATAAATATGACACCAGTGAGCACGGCCTCGGGCGTAAACAATAAGAAGTAGCGATTGAAAATTAATTAATTTCAACGCTAATAAATTATTACGTGGTATGATTTCCGCTAGGAAAAAGGAAAAAGGAGGAATGAAGGTTAATAATTATTAACCTTCATTCCTCAATGTAATTGAAGAAACAATTTTTAGAAATGTTTTTCTCGTATATATAAAACCGGAAAGTATTTATAAATAGAGTAATGAAAGCAAGTGGAGAAAGCGGAAGATGTATGTAAAGATCTTGCCCTGTGCTGCTCGGTCCTCTTTGCCAACTCACAAGGATTACGGTGTGAATATCTGTTTCGTCTCTATGCAGGTGTAAATTTAACGCATATTTCCAATTTTCTTAAAAAAAGTCTTGATAATTAAGTCTGGCTCTCCCCTTTATTAGAAACAACATGATGGACGCGCCTACCCCTAAATCGTCTTACCAAATAAATTAACGGTTTCTTAACATAACAGGATTATATAAAAACTAAATTGTCGATATTTCCTATAACAGGATTATTTATCATGTATAAATATTTTTTATAAAAAGTAGAACTTAAGATAAGACTTCAACTTTCCGGGCGGAATATTAAATGATAGGCGCCCGATTCAAAAGTTTTTATTTCATGCTTGTTAGTGATATTGATATTTTTTATATAATAGGTGTTTCCTATTATAAAAATAATAAATATTTTCTAAATCTCAGAATAGGAAATTTTGTTTATTTGCTTGTCAATTTTTTTCCAATAGGTATTCTATATTTCTATTTTAAAAAGGAAAGGTTTGACTGCTTGTCTGTTTGCATTGGATAGGTCTCGAAACTATTAGATCTATTTATTAAAGATACAGGCGAAGACGTGGGGACTCAGTTAGTTTGATAGAAATTGGCTCACAATACGAGAAGAAATCGATGAACATACCTACCCCTATATACATATATATCCTTTACTCATACTTACTATCTATGACTTTCATAAAAAATATACATCAAAGGGTAAAGTTTTGATTTTGAATGAATTCTAAATACGTAATCTTTTCTTTTTTACTGAAATGGGTCATGCCATAACATATCATCTTAATATTTAGGTGATACTCGTATCTATTGGAAAGCGGATTTTGATTTGTTATAAAAAGAAAACTACTTATTCGATTTCGATAAAAATTTAATGGGATCACTTCGATCCATCAAGCTGTCGGATTAAAAAAGAATTTTGAAAATCGGTCAACAATTGACAAAGATATCGGTGAACATACATAAAAAAATCATACATCGTCGTCGAATTATAACCTTTTCGATTTTGAAGTCAAAAAGAAATAGTGAACCCTTTATTTTGCTTTGCCGTAAGTATGAAAAAGGTAAAGGTCTCAGCGATCTTATGTCGATTTTACTATAATGAAAGTAGTTGTATAAACATTAATTTCGCTTTCTCAACGCATACAGTAGTTTCACGATACTACCTTCACGTAACTAATTTCACCTCGATGTAAACAAAACAAAGCTTAGATATTGACGAAGCCAGTGTCTCAGAGACTGTTGCTGCTCTGTTATCATCACGAAAGTAAATGTGATGTGAAAGTAAATACCTTCACATGTGCTATAATTACTTTCGGGAAACTTGTTTTTAGTTTCGTAATGTAGTGATTGCAAGCGCCGTCATACTCTCTTCACTTGTACCACACGGTGCTGTTTTATTTATATCAGTGTATAGAGCATGTTGTATTTGTACACAATGCCGGGGCACACGGCAGGGCGAGGTCGCTCTTGCGATAAATAAAGTTTAGATTTCAATACAGATAGGGAATAAACGTATGTTGTGGATGTAGGCACATACGTGATACAAGTAGGTATGTCTATTGGTCGGATCACAACGAGAAATTATACTAGTAACAAACAACAAAAGTAGGACAGCAAGGCACATACGAACTAATATATTCCGGGGAGTTTGTTAAGGCTATACCATAGCGGAAACTCGAATATATGACACACCATAAGTAAAAACATACAAAAGAAAAAGCAGTGGTCCATTTCCTGCGTCAGATGGGTATCTAGTTCAGCATTTGTAAGTTGAAACGACCCTATTTTGAACTAGACCCTTTCTTCTTTTGACACGCAGCTGCTTAAACATAAGTTAAGCAAGCACGCGAAGCAAAGCAAGTAAGTTAATCAGTAATAACACGACATTATTCCATTAATGTTAATGAAAGCCTGTAACTTTACAATATAAAGCTTATAATTTAACACCGTAACAGTAATATCTGAAGTAACGCCAGAACTTGAGGCTGGCGTAAACCCTAATATTGAAGTTATCAATAATCTATGTAACGCAAATGACACAGTTCTCATTGGTTATTCCGAAAGTGAGCAACAGATAATTTTGGATAGACTACAAGAAAACAGTGAATAAGTAGATTCAAAGACCAAATACATGTATCTGGTAACATTGACTTAAACTAGTAAATATTAATAGAGATTTTAAACTTGTAGAGATTTAGAGCAAGTGCAGCAATATAAATACCTCAATGCATGGGTGAATGAAGTGAATGGATCAAATCATTAGAAATAAAGACACTGACCGAAACCATGCGTGCACCTTTCAATAAAATAAGAAAGACATTGAAATCGAGCTGAGAGTGAGGATTCTCTAGTAGGTGCTACGCATATTTGATGTGTAGTTCAGCATGGCAGTGAAGCGTGGACAAAAGGCGTTGCGTACCGAAACTTTCGAGGTGTAGTTCTATCATCACATGTTGAAAATGGAATGTCAGTAACGAAATAGTTTTTCGGTGCGTTTCAATGTCGTGAAAATTGATGCTAACACTCTTGGACACGTGTTAAGACGTGTTAATATCAACTGCTGCAATTGAAAATTATAAAGTTCTTTGAATTTATTTTTTAATAGGAAGTTCTAGATCTATAATAGATCATGATGATGCCTGACTAACCGAAATGCATACGTCAACTAAAGCAATTTCAAGTACATCTCATGCAGTTCAATTTCAAGATCATTAAATTCGAAGTCAAAGACCTGGGGGCCAATTCTACTAAATAAATTTTGTTTAAATCGAATCGAAAACGGATCACAACCGAACTAAACTATTTTAGCTGGAATTGTATCGTATGTCACTTTTTAGAATAGAAAAACCATTAAAAACTGTAGTTTCGTTCGTTTGCGATCGGTTTTCGATTCGATTTAAACAAAATTTATTTAGTAGAATTGGCCCCCTGAGCAAAGTGGGGTTGACCCGCTACGCAATTCGTAGTTATCCAATATAATATTATAAATAGAAAATAACGTTTACTTGTTCATATTTCATTTTGCAACGGTTATTCATTATGTCACCTATTTTTTTTATGTGGCGATATTTGGAGGCAGAGGCAGATCTAGATCAAAACACGTTGTGCTCACTGGTATCCTAAAAACAGGCTTTGTGCTAACTAGAGTATGTGCTCTTGCTCAAAATACTGCATTACTTCAAACGAGATGTATGCCAAAACATATGTCGCTGTGATCGATATTATGAGTGTAGTTCCACGTGTTAGACCTTGAATATATGACGTCACAACTCTATTAGGTTTGTGGGTATGCCTATAACGACGGATCTACCTTTGGTAGGAAGGCTGAAAAGTGTTAGAAGTGGCTAAATACGTTTTAGTTCAAAATACACGGGCTTAGCCACGCGTTGATAGTAATAGAATATTTGTCCCAGTTAAGGATTATAACTTTGCTCGCTCTTATTAAGACGAAGGTCTAGTTACTCACGACCATCTCATCCGTCTTTATCCTATTGAACTAGCTGATGCTTTTTAATATATTCAAATCCAATTCAATGATTGATCTCACATTTTCCAATCATCCAATGATCTCACAGTTGATCTTCGAGTGTACGTAACGACATTATTTTACTATACGTAGTGCGCGCGCCATACGCTCTTCAGTCGGTCGACGCGAGCGCAGTTAAGCGCACACGCCCCACTCATAATAAAATCTAAAATCAACCTTCCGCTTCCAACTTCAGGGTTTAAATTCCTTTAATGTTCTATAAATAGAATTCAGAATGTAAACAAAACTGAAGGTTAGTGAAATTGACTTGCAAAGTGGCATCTAAAATGTACAGTGCTAAATGATATGTTAAAAATTCCCTAAGGACTGTTTTAAAAATAAATAATAAGAAAAAAGATTCATTCAGTAGGGTGAAAAACTCAGAGAACGGTCGTTAAGTTAATCAATATCAAAAGGTAGTTGAAAACATTCAAAATGGAAGCGTCTACTCCAGAAATTATTCCTGCTCAATCTGATACTCCTGAAGATACTCCGTCACCGTCCCCTGGACCACAAAATATGACCAAGTTCAATTGGCTAAAGCATTCTAGACGCAACAACCCGTTCGTGAAGTCTAGACCTTCGTTGACCAGGGACAATTCCTCAGCTGATCTCGTTTCCAGACAGAGCTCCAGCAGCGATTTCTTCCAGAATTCCAGGATGAATCTTTTCGAAACTCTCCCGAAACCCGAGGGGCAGAATCAGGGATATATGAAGGTTAGTTGGTATAGTACAAATTGGACCCAAACTAGTACCTAGTGGTATAAAGTTTTATTATTACGTACGTAGTACGTTATTTTTCATCGAGCGAACCAGCCTCTCTGTTCATTCTACGAAGCCTGTTTGGAATTATAACACTAGAGTTATACTCTACCTGTGCACAAAATTTGTAATTCATATACATAATCGATAAACTAAATTTTAATAACTACATCTAGAAGTCCGATTTTTATCAAAAGAATAGGTTTTAGCGAAAAACCAGGAACACAAAGTGAATAATAATTACAAAATATTTTCAGAAACGTGAGAAAATCTAGTTATTTTTAAAAGACTTAATACCGAAGAGGATGAGGTTATATGTTCGACGGCGATGTATGTTTTTTATGTATGTTCACCGATATTTTCGTAAATTGTTGACCGATTTCTTCTTTGATTTAATTAATTCTACAGCTTGATGGATCGAAGTGATCCCATTTAAATTTAATCCGAATTGTATAAATAGTTTTCCTATTATTACAAAACAAAATACGCTTTCCAACAGATATCACATAAATATTAAGACGATATGTTATGACATGGCCCATTTCAGCTAAAAAACAAAAGATTGCGTATTTAGAATTCATTCAAAATCTGAAAGGAATATTTTCAATGTTCAACGGATAGTAAGTTTCAATGAGTAAAGTATATATATATATATATATATACGAGGGTCAAACTGAAAGTTCTTAGAAAATCAAAAACTGATTACATTAGCCAGTTATTAGTTTTATTATATCTTTTCAAAATATTGTCCATTCACGTCAATACACCGCTGCATGCGATGGAACCACTGGGAAAAGCACTTTGCCCACTCGTCCTTAGGGGTCTCTTCAATGGCATCGCGATACGCAGCCACCGCTTCTTCAGCATTCATAAACCGCTTTCCTTTAAGTTTTTCTTTAATTTTTGGAAATAAATAAAAATCACAAGGCGCGAGGTCGGGGCTATACGGCGGGTGACTCAGTAATTCAACGTTTGATGTCGCCAAATAGTCGATCGTTCGCTTGGCGGTGTGCGACGAGGCGTTGTCGTGGTGAAGGAGGATCCTACTGCGAGGTCGTTTCTCTCGAACTTTTTCCAAGACAAGTGGCAAACAATTGGTAGTGTACCATTCTGCAGAAACTGTTTTTTGATCCTCTAACACAATTGTTGCAAAATGACCTATCCTTCCAAAGAACGAGGCCACCATTTTTTTTCCCGCACTTCGATCTCTCTTCACTTTAGTTGGCAACTCCTCGAAAGGAAACACCCACTGAGCAGATTGTCTTTTGGTTTTAGGATCATAACAGTAAATCCAGCTTTCGTCACCTGTTAGTATGTCGAACACAGCATTTGAGTCACCTCCGTTAAATCTTTCAATCATTTTACGACACCAATCCACACGATGGAGTTTTTGAGCCTCAGTCAAATTATGAGGTATCCACCGGGCGCAAAGCTTCCTGACCGCTAAATGTTCGTGGAGGATTTTGTGCACTTGACTCATACCGATGCCTAAGCTCGTCCGAATCTGTTGATAGGTCACTCTTTTGTCAGTCTCTATCATACGCCGCACAACACAGATGTTATCTTCAGTCGTCGCCGTAGAAGGCCGTCCTTCACGTAAATCATCAGTGAGATTAGTGCGACCACGTTTAAACTCATTAAACCAGTTGTAAACAGTCGCACGAGATGGGGCTTCATCGTGAAAGGCCAATCGTAGTCTATCATAACTTTCTTGTTGACTTAAATGACATCGAAAGTCATAAAAAATCATTGCACGAAAATTTTCTCGTGTTAAATTCATGATGACGTGACACAGACAATTTTCAATTTGCCGCCAAATCGTAAAACAAATGACAAATGAATGAAATATATACTCAGTAATATTGGCAAAGAGTTATATTTTCAAATTTTAGAATTATTTTTTTATTATATTGTTTATAAGTGGCCAGTTCTAAGAACTTTCAGTTTGACCCTCGTATATATATATATATATATATATAATAATTATGTCGAGCAAATTAAAAAAAATATATTCTAAACCTTTCAACATGTTAAATATTTTTATTCACATAGATATTTAATATTTCTAGTGTTACCTACTCGTATTAAATAAAAAATATCGATATCACAAAAAGCATGAAATAAAAACTTTTTATAAAAAGTAGAACCGACTTCAAAAAAGTAATAGATAATACTTATTTTAAAAGCGAATTATTCAAGAAAAAGCTATTGAAGTGGGGCGCCTATAATTTAATTAATAAGCTACTGAAAACCTCCTGATAGAACCCTATATTTCTTCTTGAAGTAGAATTTATATCTTCACAAAATTGTTGGATATATGCATTTCTATCTAAATTTTATTGGATACAGTTTTGCGTGAATAAGCGTGTAAATATTTGAAAGCTAACAAAGCCCTAGATTTCGCTTAGTGACAATGTTTTCACACAAACAATCGGTAAGAATGTAATGAACAAAGATAAAGTATCTTTATTTGATTATATAATGGATGCTCGATTATCCGGAATTCACGACCTCATTTGAACATATTCGGAATTATCCGGATTTTCAAACGAGATAAAGTTTACCGTATTATCGTGCGAATACCTAAATATAAAATTTTACGGTCGTCTAATTGTCCAAATTCCATAATTAACATTATTTATAAAGGTTTGTTAGTAACTAGCTGACCCGTAACTTAGCCTTCGTATATTATACTTAAGCTATGTCACACGCGTATGATGCAGTTTCCCGCAAGTGAGAGAATTTTTAAAATCAGTCCAATAGTTTCGGATCCCATTCGATGCAAACAAACAAACAAACCTTTTTGCTTTACAATATTAGTGTAGAAGAGTAGTTATACTTCTGTATGATTGTTTGACAATATTATTATGTTTAAAGCTCCACAGCTTTTTTTTTAGAAAGTAGAGTTTAGGTAGCGTTCCCATAAATGAGCGCCTTTGTGGGTACTTTTACCCTTAGGTAACCTTTAAGGTAGTGAAATAATAAGTAGCTTCTATGTTAAGTCGGACTTAGAATTACCTACATATTACCTACATATACCAAAGTTCATCAAAATCCGTCCAATAATTTTAAACATCCAAACCTACAAACATACACCTTTATAATATATATTAATATTTAATATATTCAGACCATATATAAATCTATAGACTATTCTCATGGCGATGGCGCAGTGGTACGTCTGCAATACGGTTATTAAGCCACTTTCGGAAAAGCTGATCGTGGGATGGGGGACCGATAATCTGTAATCTCGCGCTCCTCCGTCTTTCCACGTTGGTCTTGGCATTTGCAGTCACCTACACCCCGATACCAATATGCTCTGTTTGTTTTAATTTGGTTCCATCTATAAGGAAGGCCTGAAGCCCCAGCATTGGGACCTCATACATAGATAATGTTAGCGTTTTGTTTATCAACTGCAAATAAGTCTGTTTCTATTAAATAAAATATATGTTTTTTGTTTTAATATTTGTTTATCAACTGCAAATAAGTCTGTTTCTATTTAAAAAAAATGTTTTTTTTTTTTTTTAATAGAAACAGGCGAACAATGAAATGTTCTTATAATGTCCCCTTGTCCTTTTGATGTTGTAAGGTAAAGGACATATTTAGATGGCTCGTTTGACGGTTGGTTGCGAAAATATATTGGAATGGAATGAAAATTCTTGGGTAGGTCCTAGTAGAAACAACACGTCATTATAAAGTTCAAACAATGTTATTGCTTTATCACTTCTTTATTTAGAAACAGATTCGGAATTCTCAATTGTTCTTACGGTTTAAAGTATATTCTAGAACAAAGCATAGCTAAACTAGGCACCGCCTAATATTACGAATCGCTTAGCAGATTAGTTATATTTCAAATAAATATTTTTTTCTTTTATCCTTTGACATATTTAAGATCTGTCGTATACGCAAACGCCCAGCGCAAGGCGCCGCGTAACGACTATCATAACTTTAGACATTGCTTAATTTCGTTAGGTGGTTCTTAGTCAATGGTGAAATGCATTTTTACCTTAGGCTTACAAATCGCTTCTCATAATTCAATTGGGTATATCATCATCATAGAATTATTTTGAGTTAAACCATGAATCTTAAACGAATTAGTCGATCAATGTAGAAAATATACTTTATTGTCTCGGGTCTGGCGGTTGTGGTACCAATAATTGTCTCAGATACTCTATAATATGGTGACTTTACCTGCTCATTTTGGAATCCGAGTAGTGTATGTGATGTTCTATATTATTTATATTTATCTATAATATAAAATTAGGTAGCTCGGTGGCGTAGAGGTTAAGCGCCGCGGCCCGCGATCGTTGTTGTTGAGCAACTTTCGCAAGGATCGATGACGGGATGGGTGACAAAAAAAATATTATCTCGAGCTACTTTCTTGCTCCGGAAGGCACGTTAAGCCGTTGGTCCCGGCTGCATTTGCAGTTGTTACTATCCTCTAATCCGCATTGAGCCAGCGTGGAGGGTCATGGCCCATCCTCCTTAACCATCCATAAGGAAGGCCTGAGCCCCTGCAGTGGGGACGTAAAAGGGCTGATGATGATGATAAAATAGCGATTTCTTCTTGGATTGACTCTAATGATTAATCTAACCGCACTTGGAATCTAGTTGGAGTCGTACCAAGACCTTTTATCAAGGGCAGCTATAAATCTTTGATATGGTCATCGCATATAATACCAATTTTCGGAGGTAAATTTGAAATTAATAAATAGTTTTATTATCTGTACGTTTTATATTATTACGTGTTCATGATTCGTGCTAATTTTTATGCTTTTGTACACAAGTTACAAAGAAAAAGAACGTTCTAGGTTTAATATATATTATTTATTATGTAACTCAAACACGTTTTTAAGACTCTATATTGATACTCGATTGAATTTATATATACCAGCTAGCTGACGTACAAACTACTACGAATAAATCTTCAAAGGCTTTATTTGGCTTGCATTTTT